TTTGTTTCTTTGTATCAATTCTATAGCATCAATGGTTCACTTTTATTCTTGTGTAGTGTATAAATACCTCCTCTATTCGCATTTCATTGCAAATTTATTATATCTATACTAATTTATTTACTCACTTTTTACATGTAGTTCCAACAAGTTGATTATGACAAAGCGGTTATTGATCTGGTGCGTTCAGAATGGGCCGATATTCTATCAAGTTATATAGAGTAGGTATGATTTGACGTTGTAATCATTTAGACTTGGTTCGTAGAATTATTTTTTGTAGTATTATGACTTGGATGATGATTCGATTAGAATTGGTAATGAAAGTATTTTGACTTGTTATTTTGAAACTTGCTTAGCTTCTTCAAAATTATGTAACTACAGTTAGCCATGGTGAATGGATAAATTGATTTTTTTTATATGATTAAAATTTAAGCAGGTTAAAAATGGATTGAGACAACGGTTAAAAACTGTTGTCTATTTTACAATAAACAGTTTGAAATTGTTGTCTTTTCTACAAAAGACAACAGTTTATGGGCGTGACTTTTAACAGTTTATGGGCGTGACTACAAAAGACAACTGTTGTCAACAACACAAAATAGACAACACTTTATAACTGTTGTCTTTTAAAGAAAAGACAACAGTTAAAAACCGTTGTCTATGTGCATCACTTTTAACAACACCGGTTTCAACAACATTGAATAGACAACGGGTCAAAAACTGTTGTCTTTTCTAGAAAAAACAACGGTTAAAAACTGTTGTCTATGTTAGTAACTTTTAACAACACCGGTTTCAACAACACTTAATAGACAACGGTCAAAACACCGTTGTCGTTTATAGAAAAGACAACGGTTAAAAACCATTGTCTATGTGCGTGACTTTTAACAACACCGATTTCAACAACACTTAATAGACAACAGTTAAAACACCGTTGTCGTTTATAGAAAAGACAACGGTTAAAAACCGTTGTCTATGTGCGTGACTTTTAACAACACCGATTTCAACAACACTTAATAGACAACGGTTAAAAAACCGTTGTCGTTTCTAGAAAAGACAACGGTTATTAACTGTTGTCTATGTGTGTGACTTTTAACAACACCGGTTTCAACAACACTTAATAGACAACAGTTAAAAAATCGTTGTCGTTTCTAGAAAAGACAACGGTTAATAACCGTTGTCTATGTGCGTGACTTACAACAACACCAGCTTCAACAACACTTAATAGACAACGGTTAAAAAACCGTTGTTGTTTCTAGAAAACACAACAGTTATTAACCGTTGTCTATGTATGTGACTTACAACAACACCGACTTCAACAACACTTAATAGACAACGGTTAAAAAACCGTTGTTGTTTCTAGAAAAGACAACGGTTAAAAAACCGTTGTCTATGCGCGAGACTTACAACAACATCGGCTTCAACAACAGAAATTATACCCCTACGACAACGGTTATTAACCGTTGTCTATGTGCATTTTCTTGTAGTGTAATAATAATATAATAATAACAATAATAATAATAATAATAATAATAATAATAATAATAATAATAATAATATAATAATAATAATAATAATAATAACAACAATAACAACAATAACAACAATAACAACAATAACAACAATAATAACAATAATATAATAATAATAACAATAACAATACTAATAATAATAATAATAATAATAATAATAATAATAATAATAATAATAATAATAATACCAGGGGACCGATTTTAACCGTAATGCATTTATTTAAAATTCGTTTCAGTTCTCCCAAGTAAACCGGGCCAGACAACGTCGCCTGCTGCATTTCTACCGCAAAAAAAACACGAAACGTGAACCGAATGTAGAAAACAATTCAGGATCACCCGTCTATCCGGTAGAGAACAAGCCAGTAAACTCCAAAATCGACCGGCGCACAGTCCAAAAAAAAAATAGAGGTTGAAAAGCAACGACAAAGAAAAAGAACGTAATAAGGGCATAAAATACGGCAGAATTAATTCAAATGTATATACCAGCAACACGATTGTTTGATGACGACAAAATGCACACCGAGCGGAAAAAATGGACAATAAAAGACACGCCGAACACAGAAGCTATCAGCAGTCTATGCGGCAGAGAACAAGGCAATCAACTCGAAAATCTATCGACGCATAGTCAAAAAGACATTGATGACGACAAAATGCACACCAATGGGAAACAATGGCCGATAAAAGACAGGCCAAACACAAAAACTATCAGCACTCTATCCGGCAGAGGACAAGGCATTCAACTCGAAAATCGACCGACGCGCAGTCAAAAAACAGATAGAAGTTGAAAAACAATGACAAGGAAAAATATAACGTAATAAGGACACAAAATACGACAGTATTAATTGAAACGTATATACCGTAGACGATATATACCAGCAACACGATTGTTTGATGACGACAAAATGCACACCAAGGGGAAAAATGGCGAATAAAAGACATACCAAACATAGAAGCTATCAACAGTCTATCCGGGAGAGGACAAGCCAGTCAAGTCGAAAATCGATCGATGCGCAGTCAAAAAAGAGATTAATGACGACAAAATGCACACAAGGGAAAACAATGACCGATAAGAGACAGGCCGAACACAAAAGCTATCACCAGTCTATCCGGCAGAGGACAAGGCAGTGAACTCGAAAATTGACCGACGCGCAGTAGAAAAACAGATAAAAGTGGAAAAGCAACGACAAGAAAAAATATAACGTAATAACGAAAAAAAATACAGCAGTATTAATTGAAATGTATATAGCGTATACGATATATATCAGCAACACGATTTGATGGCGACAAAATGCACACCAAGGGAAAAAACTAGCGGATAAAAGACACACCGAACAAAGAAGCTGTTTGCGAAAAGACCACCTGCGACAGAGATATCCCACAACAGTCAACACATAAAGAAACAACACATTTCTGGTGAGGAATGTCGTTAGACCGAAGTGAAGCTGTATTCCAGCGAACACATACAAACAACATATTTCTGGGGAGGAATTTGGGCAAACGATAAAGAACCCGCAAACGACAGGCGACGACCTTAAAGCAAAAGGAGCGCACTCGTACATCTCTCCTCATCTCTCCTAAATGATAATGATAAATGATAAATGACGAAGCCAGCGCTCATCAAATGCAATGATAGTACAATGCGCGACGTGCGCGCCCGGTAAAAGTGGAAAAAAAGTCAAGCCAACAGTCATACATGTCAGAATATTCATTGTTCCTTTCAGCGAAGGTGTGGGCAAGAACAGCAGCAGTTCACTTGTACCCCAAGCACACTGAGAGAAAATGGCTGCATTCACAAGGGTATAATAGATAATTCAAACTGAACAAGCAAGGGTATAGCAGGCAATACAATTACAAGTACAGAGAAGGGCAAAACGCGGCTGACGAAAGCATATGTCATTTACGGGCTAGCGCCTGCCGGAAAACGGAACGAATTTGCTGGTCTTATTAAGCATCGATGTATCGGCAAGGGCAAAAGAATCAGAGAATATGCAACCGTAAGGGCAAGACCGTGATAGTTTTTCTCAGGTACCAATGGGAAAGCACAGAGTGCAAGGATAACCGCCTGAAAATGTCATGGTAAAAAATCACTGAGCCTTTGTGCGTATTTATAGATATATTCGGTATAGGACAAGGCAGCCAAGTCGAAAATCGACCGATGCGCAGTCAAAAAAGAGATTGATGATGACAAAATGCACACCAAGGGGAAACAATGACCGATAAAAGACAGGCCGAACACAAAAGCTATCACCTGTCTATCCGGCAGAGGACAAGGCATTGAACTCGAAAATCGACCGACGCGCAGTAAAAAAACAGATAAAAGTTGAAAAGTAACGACAAGGAAAAATATAACGTAATAACGAAAAAAAATATGGCAGTATTAATTGAAATGTATATACTTAGACGATATATATCAGCAACACGATTGTTTGATGACAACAAAATGCACACCAAGAGGAAAAATGGCGAATAAAAGACACACCGAACACAGAAACTGTTTGCGAAAAGACAACCTGCGACATAGATATCCCACAACAGTCAACACATAAAGAAACAACACATTTCTGGTGAGGAATGCCGTTAGAACGAAGAGAAGTTGTATTCCAGCGAACACATAAACAAATAACAGATTTCTGGGGAGGAATTTGGGCAAACGATAAAGAACCCGCAAACGACTGGCGACGACCTTAAGTTAAAAGGAGCGCACTGGTACATCTCTCCTAAATGATAATGATAAATGATAAATGACGAAGCCTGCGCGCATCAAACGCAATGATAGTACAATGCGCGACGTGCGCGCCCGGTAAAAGTGGGAAAAAAGTCAAGACATCAGTCATACATGTCAGAATATTCATTGTTCTTTTCGGCGAAGGTGTGGGCAAGAACAGCAGCAGTTCACTTGTACCCCAAGCACACAGAGAGAAAACGGCAGCATTCACAAGGGCATAATAGATAATTCAAACCGAACAAGCAAGGGCATAGCAGGCAATACAAGTACAAGTACAGAGAAGGGCAAAACGTGGCTGACGAAAGTAGATGTCATTTACGGGCCAGCGCCTGCTGGAAAATGAAAAGAATTTGCCGGTCCTATTAAGCGCCGATGCATCGGCAAGGGCAAAAGAGTCAGAGAATATGCAACAGTAAAAGCAAGATAGTGATAGTTTTTCTCGTGTACTACAAAAAAAGCACAGAGTGCAAAGAAAACCGCCTGAAAATGTCATGGGCAAAAATCACCGAATCTTTATGCATATTTATAGATTTGTCTTATAAATTAAGATTTGTGAAACAATATTACTAAAAACTTAGTTTAATGATAAAAAATTATAAATTTAATAATGTAGAAGTAAAATTATAAAAGTAAAAGAGTATTGTAAGTCGTAACATAAGGACAACCTTAGCAGGCTGCAGGCCCCGCCTCCTCCACACGCCATTCCCATTCTGCTCCATGGTAAAAACACTAACTCCAACTCCTACTCCCCTCCCACTCACTCTCTCTCTCCGCATTTGGTAAAGTGAGAGAAACAACTCTCTTCTCTCTCGCTCTCTCTGCATACTTTCTTGGTAAACAATTTTCTCTAATTTTATCAACGTGATTTCCTTCTATTCCCTTGTTTTCCTGAAGACATTAAGTCCTCTCTTTCACTTTCCCCTGCGGGTTTCCCCCTTCCTCGATAAAGCGAAGGTAAAACTGGGAAAGAAAACAGTGTTGGGTGTTTCCTTTGACTTAAAACCTTGTTTTTCGATCATGGTTTAGTTTTCCACTACCTCGATAAAGCAAAGGTAAAACTGGGAAAGAAAACAGTGTTGAGTGTTCCCCTTGACTTAAAACCTTGTTTTTCGATCATGGTTTAATATTCCACTATTTTTTGGGTTATTTTGTGTACAAAATAGCCTATAAATTTTCTTGTGGGCGTTTCTTTTGGTTAATTATTATTCTGTTTCTTTTCATTTTTGATTTTCTTTTTTTGACTCAGACAAATTAAAATACCAAAGTTGTCATATCATGAATTCATGATTACGATTTTTTCCATTTTCGGAGATGCAGAAGTGCAATTTCCAAATGTGTGTGAATTTTAGCTGCTGAAAGTTTCCAAAAATATGGAATTCTTGAGCTTGGGAAAAGGAAAAAAGACTTCACTTTTTTCTCGATTTAAAAAAAATAAAAAACTTTCTGTTCTTTGGGAGGGAAAACGATACGTCTCCGCGGTGTTCTATGGCGTCTTCTTGGGAGAGATTTCATTTTACTTCACCATTTTTCTCATGTTTTCGGTGTGGATTTTGATAAACCCTAGGTTGGGGACCATAAACGAACCTCCCTAGAGGGTGGGATTCAGAGTGGGCCTTTTTTTTTTTTTTTCTTCTTAATTTCTTTCTTCACTTTTCCAACGGCAAATGAAAAGGGGCGTCTGGAACTCCCATAGTCCCATTGTTTTCTTCGTGAGCAAGTAGACATAAATGCATCTAGTAATGAAATATTCTTCCTATATTTATTTATTTATTTATTTTAAAATGAAATAAAGTGCAGTAAATGATTTTATATTTTGGGCTTCTGAATTAGCATTTATTACTCCTACTTATTTATGGTGAAATCTATTTAGTTGTTTTACTCCATATTTATTGGCTAATGGTGGGTAAATTTTGGTAAAAATGAGTATGGGTCCTTATTCTTCTACAAAGGCATGAGAGGGAAGAAAGCAGGTTTTTGAGTTTTATGATTTGGATATCAATGGTTGAGCTAAGAATATTTGGTGAAACATTTTCTTGTCTAAATCAATCACAGACTTAGCTTTTTGTCATTAAAAAAGAAGAAGAAGAAGAAAAGAATAGCTTATTAGTAAAAGCATGAGCTGTAATTTGCTGATTATTATAGTTGCTTTGGAGAATAAATAGGGGTGACAAACTTTTTGTGGGTTTAGGGTGCAATAGCAAACTTTCTCACTCTTAAATCTGTGTAGTGATTTTATTTTCACAAAGATTTTGCATTGGGTTAGGGAACATTTACTGCTCTTTACTAGACTTTTGAGTGATTTCTTGAATGTCAAGGCTCAAGGTTCTGAGGATATTATTGGGTAGTGTGTGTTATTGAGGGCTGAGGAATAATGGCAGAAGAGAATACTGGGTATTTGCAGTGGACTTCTACTGATTGCAAGTCTGTGCTGCTTTTGATACTTGACTATTTCTTGAGGATGATCTCTTTAGCTACCTTTTTACCTTTGATTGACCCTCTATTTGTATAATTTTGCTTCTATTTGCTTGGGACTGAGGAATTGGGATGGGTATACTACTTTCAGTCAACAGAGCAGGGATATATTGTAAATTCAGTAGTAGGTGTCATTTTTTGCAGTTTTTACATTAATTTCTTGAATCAGGGATGCCCAGTTGCATCATTGGGTGAACCTTTTGGGGTGACGAGGGAAACCCGCAGCCACTAGTTGAGGGTGTGCCCGGGTAAACCCCACCTTGTGACCCTAGCCGGCAAAGGGACACAAAGAGGTAAACCAGCCTAGGTTGCCCATAGCTGACTGGCTCAAACAAGAAGGCTGGGATTCGAACTCGTGACTTTGTGGTTACAAGTTTGTATCCTTAGCCAGCTTGGCTTGGGTTACCCCCATCATTGGGTGAACCTTGATTCTAAGGTGGGTAGTTCTTTTGCTTGGAGCTTGATTTGGTTTGTTTCTGTAGGACCTTTATGCATTTTCTCCTGGTCTAATTATTTTTTCCCCATATTTGTAAAGACCAAAGTGTGCACTTTCATATGCTTTTAGAGGTAACATAAATGTTGATTAATCTCATGTCACCACTTGCAGATCTGATGCTCTGTTACTTGTATATTCCATGTGAAAAAAAGATTTAAGTGAATCCATTTCATAACTTCATTCTTGGAGATGGAGTGGAATTCAAAGTGGGGATGGGAAAAGCTGGCTATGCTTGGATCAAAAGCCTGTGAAAGTCCCAAAAAGCTGCAATTAACAGACTGGGGATTTGTGGAAGAGGCTGAACTTGATACTGGATCCTTGGATTTGTCGGGAGGAGGTAGAGGTGGAAGTGGTGGATATGGATCTTCAGCTAAAAGCTCGGTATCAGCTTCTACCGACTCATCAACGAAGGATGGGACAAAATCATCAAATTTCACTTTTGAAGGCTTTCCTGGAGATTTGGATAAGAAAATGGAGCAGCCCGGAGCTGAAGTATCTGGAAACTCGCCACCACTGGATACCTCAATTGGTTCTGTAGAGCCATTTATTGGTCTGAAGCTTGGTAAGCGGACTTATTTTGAAAGCAACTCTGGTGGAAACAGTGTCAAGAGTCCTACGATGGCCACAATCCCTATTTCATCAGCCACTTCAGTTAAGAAAACAAAACCATCTAGTCAGTGTACACCTACTCCGTACTGTCAAGTTGAAGGCTGTAACATTGATCTTTCCTCTGCCAAAGATTATCACCGGAAGCATAGAGTTTGCGATAGTCATTCCAAATGCCCAAAGGTCATTGTAGGAGGTATAGAACGTCGGTTTTGCCAACAATGTAGCCGGTATGATACTTGCTACTGACTCTATTACAATGTAGTATCTGTTCATAACTACTTTCTCAACTTACTGAAGCACAAAGAGCCAATAACGCCTCCACTGAGGCTTGAACTCACAACCTCCCATATGGGAGTCCAACCCGGGTGCCATCTGTGCACAAGGTGCTTGGCACCGGTATGATACTTGAAGCTTCATATAATCCGAAAGAAAATTTTGTTTCTTCATCTCACATAATTCTGCTTCATGTTCCAGCACTTAAATTAAACTTTAGTTCTTTGAGATTTAACTCAGTGGTCGATACGTAAATTGCAATAATATTGACTTGTCCACCTTTGCTGAAGGTTCCATAGCTTGTCGGAATTTGATGAAAATAAACGTAGCTGTCGGCGTAGACTTTCTGATCACAATGCAAGGCGCCGCAAGCCACCGGAGGATCCAACCCAGTTTGATTCAACAAATATGTTATCACCCTTTCCTGGTATGATTCATGTCCCTGATCTGTAGGCATATTTATTGTAAGCGGACAGCTTAAAATTTGAAACTGAGAAGAAAGTGGTCATATCCCGTAGTAATTTTGTTCATATATAATTATTTGTTACTAACAAAGTTATTTTGAGTAAAAAAAAAATGGTGTGTTCCAGCATTTTTATTCAATTCTATTTTGGATCTAATGTTAATCTGTTTAAATCAGATATTTCATTTTCTGTAATGTTTTGTTTCTCATAGACTATGTGCCTGATGAAATTGTGAACTCGGAACTGTTTTAATATATATATATATATATATATATATATATATATATATATATATATAGAGAGAGAGAGAGAGAGAGAGAGAGAGTTGAGTTCGCATGAGGACCACAATATATAGAGGACTGTGCGGACTGAGTATGGGCACACGATAAATTAGTATAAGGCACACAACTTAATACACAATGACACACAAGAATACATGTAAACATCAGGTTTCGAACCCATGCTTTATTAATTAACAAACCTATGACATACATACAATTAATACACAATGACACACAAGAATACATGTAAACATCAGGTTTCGAACCCATGCTCTATTAATTAACAAACCTATGACATACATACAAATTATGGCACACGACTACATTCGGCCATGCACACGACATACAGACTAATGGCACATGACTACATCAGTCCTCACGGTCCTCTATAATATAGTGGTCCTATATATATATATATATATTAGTGATTAAATGAGACCACTTGCCCCCATGAAACCGTGTGGAGTGTACATGAATGCACACAATGCACACAACACACTTGTGTAGTAGTTTGTGTGCATCCATGTTGGTCCGCACGGTCTCACCAGGGGGGGGGGGGTGGTCTCATTAGAACATCAACCTATATATATATATATATATATATATATATATATATATATATATATATATATATATATATATATATATATATATAATGTTTTGAGTATGATGTCTTTTTGGTGTTTGCAGATGGTAGGCAACAAATGAATTTCGTGGTGAACCATTGCCCCATTTTTCCCTCTAGAACTGCTGCAGATTCAACCTGGGATAGCAATTGCACCTCCAAGTTCACCATTACAAGAGGATTTACTTCAAAGCCTGAAAAGGCTAGAACCATAAGTAAACTGCCAAACCTGGCAGGGATCCAGTTACCAAATGCATCATCCAAGGGCACAACACCTGAGGTCTTCAACCAAGGTTTGTTTCCCATGCTTATTTGAAGATAGTACCCATTTCTGGAACATGTTACTTTTAGATACTATTATATCTTCTTCATTAGTGCATCCAATTTTCTTCTATTTATCCTTTTTTTTTCCTATGATGGTCCATTTGGAGTACTAGTAGGAAAAATAGAAAATTTCTACTGCTTTTAATTAGTGGTAGTGCTTTCTTGAGAAATTTTTTAATTTTTTGAGCAATACCTGGATCATTACTCAACTTTTACTGAAAAAAGTATGTGTAGTTGTAAATCAATACTTTATTCATACGTGAAATTATTGTCATTACTTCCCAATTGCAAATTTGCATAGATAAGCTAAGTTAATTCATGGTTGCGGCTGTTTTGCCTTGCCCTATTAATTAGTTAGAAATATAATGCATTAATGTGAAATCTTCTCTTGGTATCTTTTGGGTTCATGTCTACGGTCTACCACAACCACTGCCTGAGGGGGTGCACTGGGTGAACTCCGCCTTGTGACCCTAGGGCAAAGGAAGTAAACCAGTTTAGGTTGCTCATAGCTGACTGGCTCAAACCAAGAGGGCTGGGATTCGAACTCGTGACCTTGTGGTTCCAAGTTTGTATCTTTAGTCATCTTGGCAGCTGGGGTTACCCCTATTTTTCTTTTTATGATCAAGGAAGGATGTGTCTGCCGGTTTCTGTGTTATATTACTAGAAGCGTAATACTTGTGTTGTTTTTTTCGGAATCAGGCCATTTCACTTTTCATTTACAATATTAGGACTTGTTTTGTTTGTTTGTCAGGTGCCAAACAATACTTGGTCCCATCAAATACAAGCACGACACCGGAGGTTCCTCGTGCTCTCTCTCTTCTGTCAACTACTTCCTGGGGTTCATATCAACCAGAATCAATTTCGCTTGATAACCCTTTGCCCGCTAATCAGCCCAGCTCGCTCGATCCATTTATGCATGATATCCCTCCGGGCCTCCTCATACCCTCTTCAGACTACTTGCAGGCCGAACAACAACACTCCACTGATTTCAGTGGACACACGCTGGCAGTGAATTCTACCAGCGCCATTCACCTTTCGCAAGTTCAGCTGTTTAAACTTCCTCATGATACCGACTTTTATTTCAACATTTGAAATATTTTCCCTTCCCCATTTTCCACCTTTAAAATGGACTGTGAAGCTACTGAGTGAGACACTTTGAGCTGTTCCCAAACTGGGATTTAAAAAGAAAAACAAAATAGGGCATGAATTGAACAGAGTTAGTTACTCTTGGCAGTCTGCCATTGTCACTGGTATATATTGCAGAATGCCAGCTAGTCTAGTTTGTCCATCATATGAAACTATACATTCTCCCCTAGTGCACTGCACTCCTTTTTTAAAATTAAATGCTCAAGATGCTTTCTTTTAGTGGTGTTGTGTGATTTCTTATTTCTATTCTGTTTTGGGAAAATAGTACTTTGAATCTCTCTCTTTTTTTTTTTTTTTTTTTTTTTTTTTTTTTTTTTTCGAGGAAAATAGTACTTTGAATCTCTTAGTTGTAAATTTAGTATAGTCGTATAGATCAGCTATTCATGCTATAGATTTAATCCTTCAGTTGTTACCAAAAGTGGTTAATTATTATTTCTTCAATTGTTTGAAGTGATTAATTTGATACCTAAAGGATTTAAATCTATTGCTATAATAATTATAAGCGATTAAAATGGGATCTACATTATGGTCATAAATAGTTGGAAGAAAATGTCAAATAAGCCCTTGAACTTTATTTAAAATTGCAATTAGGCCTCTAAATTTCTTTGAAGTGCAATAAAACATTAACTTATCATTTTAGTACTAATAGCCGGTTATTCGCTGGGAATAATTGGTCATTAGGGTTTCGATGATAATTCCAGCAATTAAAAAATTTTGGCGAAATTTTAAATTGAAAAAAGAATTTCGGTGGCCTTTTCCAGCAGAGAAGACAATCAGCCGATTGTCTTCTTTGGTAGAGAAGGCGACCAGATCTGGTTGCCTTCTCTAGTGGAAAAGGTCACTAGAAGTTGAATTTCTTTTAATGGAGATAATTTTATCGGTAAATTGGTAATAAGACTTATTTGACTCATTTCGATAAGTTTGAATGTTTAATTGTAACTTTTAAAATTCAGGGGTCTAATTGCATTTTTGAGTAAAGTTCATTGGTTTGTTTGATCATTTTCCGTAAATATTACTCCGTACAATTTTTTTTATAACTCTTCAACTCCTAATATTACATTTTTCCTTATAAGTATTACACTTTTTCTCATAAGTAAAAATCAATCATTTATCCGTAATTATTATTGCACTTCTTCTCATAAGTAACTGTTTAACCTTTAAATATTACATAATGATTTAAAAATATCACTTTTTTTTTTCAAAAGTATTACACTTTCTTTTATAAATAACAAATATTTTATTTTTGATTAGTATTATATTTTTCAGTAAATATTATATTTTCATTTTGACCTGACTCGTTTTACAGATCCACAATAGACTCACTCCTACTTTAATTTCTTCATATAATTGAGGTAGCGCGAAGGATTGAAAAAGGTTGTGTTAATGAGGTAAATGTTTTTCAGTATGAATTTGCATGGAGATTATTACTACTTTTAGCTTTATGATTATTTGGTCAATTTCACATTTAACATTTATGATTTTTTTGTTCACATATGGTCATTCTAACTAACTATATATAGAAAATAATAGGAGTCACAAGAAAATAAAAGGAGTGCATCACATCTATTATTCACAACCATACGTTTCCCCTCCAAAACCATTAAGATTTTCAAATGAGTGTTATTTTAAATTAAAAATATGAAGCATTTGCCAATTACCATGTAGTGTGATGGCATCCCAGTTACTAGGGACGGGGTTGGCCTAGGAGCAAGTGGGGGCAGCTGTCCATACAGTGTCAAAATGACGTCGTTTTGGGGATATATATATATATATATATATATATATATATATATATATATATATATATATATATATATATATATATAGAGGAAGCTTTTCTGGTGCACACTCTTACTTAAATGTGAACTAGTGGACTATTGTGGTGCACTGATCTGAGAGTTCCTACGTTGGGAGACTTGGCACGTTGTAGTTCCCGTGCTCCACCATGTAGGTGTGCATTTCTCGGTTTGTGGTCACCTAATTCAAAAACCTGAGCGTGTTTCCTGGTTTCTAATCGTGAGTTTGGCATTTGTTTCCGTTTCCCCCCTCCCCCCTTTGCGGTGACGAAGAACCGGCGAATTGAGTGTGACGATGGGCAGTCCTGAACCGGCGACGTCCCTTGACCAAGGCGTTACGTTCGGCATGCACCCCCTCCGCGGTGATCCAGAAGGTCCGTTCTTCATTTATCCCGTACGCCGCCACCTGTTTGTTTGTTTTTTTTTTTTTTTTTTTTTCGTTGTTGTAATCTATCTACTAGCTTGCGTGCAGTGCGTACTCCATTCCTATATCTCTGTAGTTTGTTGCACGGCCGTAGCCAATTGCAAAAGTTCTCTAAACAATGCAACTGCCCTACCCACATGGCATGAAGAAATGGATACAGGATAACCAACAGTAGGTAGTACTAGGAACGGCAGTGCAAATATAAAGGATGTCATAATAGTAACTTTATATGTTCTATAAAGGATGTCATGCAGAATGAGTAGCAAATATAAAGCACTAATTCATTGCAACGCCCAATATTTTCTGTAATACACAACTGCAAAGATATCGTCTGTTTCTTAATCCAAAATCGGCTAAACATGCACTTGGATCCTACTGTTTTGGTTATGGCTTATTTGAGTAGTTAGTTAACATGCACTTGGACCCTACTGTATTGGTTAATTATTACATTAATTAGTTGCCTACTGTGTTCTTAAAGCATACCAACCCACCCAGTGGCTCTAGGAATGTTAATTAGGTGCGCATTGTGCAGAATATTTTAGAAATCTGTTACCTTCTGTGATCTTTTTTAATTGTCTTCTATGTTATTTTTTAATTAAACTGGGCGTAGTAGGAATGCTATTTTAGTCCCATTTTAGTGAATGTTGTTATTGCATTGTTATTTGAACTACCCTCCTTGAGCATTTTGAGACTCCCTGGCGAAGATTATGACTTTTACTCCATAATTTGAAGCTTAATGCTATATTTAAGATTTTAAGCTGGGACGCTGATTTTTGTAATCCAACATCCAATTCGCATATGGCTTAATTGAGCTGTTTTGTTCAAAGTTTCCTTTACTTTTAATTAGTTAATTAACTAATTGGATCTGCATTTGTATTTATTACTGGACGGTATGTTTAATATTTTAGTATGCATATTCATATTTTCCTTTTTTGCAGATGTCAGGGGGCAAGAGAGTGCAGGCACAGGTAGGTATACCAGCATACCAGTCAAATATTGGTGGCCTGCTGTGGACAGTGCAATTACCCCGGCTATCGGTTACCGTTTCAAAACACTAGCAGAAGGGGTGTATTTCTATATCAACTACGCTAGGACATGTGGCTTCTCTGTGAGGCACGACACCCTAAAACGAGGTCGTGACGGCCAACTAACCTCGCGTTATTTGTTATGCAATCGGGAAGGCGTAAAAGGTGGTGGTCGAAATCCGCCAAAACCCGTGGAGGGTGGCAGTGGTGGTTTGATCACTCAACGCAGGAAACGGGTATCTAACAGGGTTAACTGCAATGCTCGGATCTGCATCACAAAGGACAAAGGCGTGGGGTTCATCGTTAGCATTTTTGTTCCCGAACACACCCACCGCATGTGCTCCGAACCTTTGAAGCTATTTATGTGAATCAATCGTAAACTAGATGTAGCCCAGCAGGCGTTCCTTACAAATTGTGTTAAAGCTAACGTGGGTGGGTCTAAAGGCTTCCGGTTATACAAGGAATCCGTGGGGTCGTATGCCAACGTTGGTGCAACAGACACGGAGTTCCATAATTTCAAACGTGACCTCCAGTCATACGTTCACGACAAGGACGGAGAGATGATCATTGCAAAGTTTAAACAAAGACGTGACATTTGTGAGAACTTTTTCTTTGATCACTATCTCGATGAAGAAAATCATCTTGCGCGTCTTTTTTGGGCTGACCACACCGGGCGTCAAAGTTTTATGAGTTTTGGTGATGTGATATCCTACGATGCAACGTATGGTACGAACAGGTATGTAAATGTTTACACGTTCATTGTGTTGATTCTGTATAGTGCATTATACACTAAACATACCGATGCAAATTAAAGGATTGTATCCGACGTATTATCTTTTGCAGTAATTATTGTTATTATTATTATTATTATTATTATTATTATTATTATTATTATTATTATTATTATTATTATTCCCATTTCCCTGTGCACTGTTTTACCTATGTTTCCTTTCTTGGATGATCATTCACCCACTCGCCCATCTATGTTTAGTAAAGAGCATGCTAATCATACTTAATTGTAGTGCTAACTCATTACCCTTGGTGTTAAGTGCATTGTAGTCATGCTGAATTTTATTGGTTATTTAATATTAATAGTATGGTGTTCGAATACCCCGCTAGTGTAATTTTGTGGTAATTTAATAGTATTCATGTTAACTACCCCGTGGGTGTCCCATTAGCGGCAACCCAATGACTACATTTGTTTCCAACATGCTAACATGTGAATTCTTCGTGCTGCAGGTACAGTTTGATGTTCGTACCTTTCACCGGGGTAGACCACCATAAACGCTGCATCAAGTTTGCTTGCGGTTGCTGACTTGAGAAGACACTGACTCATACGTGTGGGTTCTCGAGAGATTTAAAGCTGCAATGGAAAAGAGCCCCTTGTGTGTCGTAACTGATCAAGACCCGGCTATGAAGAGTGCTATTGCACAGGTATTGCCGGAGTGCCAGCACCGTTACTGCATGTGGCATATCATGACCAAAGTGTGCGAGAAATCAGGGGTTGAATTATCAAAAGATCAGACTTTCCGAACCCAGCTTAACAACGTTGTGTGGAATGAGACCATTGGCATTAGTGATTTTGAAACGCAATGGCAGTCGTTAATGGAAAAGTACAACTTAACGGGGCATCGATGGTTCACCAAGTTATACACAGAACGGGCGTTTTGGATTCCATCTTATTTTTTAGATTTACCCATGAGCGGTGTCCTACGTACCACATCGCATTCAGAATAAGAGAACAATGCGTACGGTAAAAGCACACGCCTACATTGTAGCCTGGTCGAGTTTTACGTGCAATACGAGAGCGTCCTGGAAATGCAACGGCACAGACAAAGCAAACTAAATGCTGAGAGTGAGGGGTTCTTGCCTGAGTTCAAAACTCCTTTAGCATTGGAGCGACACACAGCGCAGGTATTCACCCTAACAGTGTTTTATGAGCTCCAACTAGAGATTGAGGCTGCATGTTTTTAT